TGTGTGTGTGTGTGTGTGTGTGTGTGTGTGTGTGTGTGTGTGTGTGTACAGGCTCTCACACACATGAGTACAGTGCCAGTGGAGGCCAGAAGAGTGCTTCAGGTCCACTGGAGCTAGACTTACTGGCAGCTGTGAACCTCACAGGTGCCGAGAACTGACCTTGGGTCCTTGGCGTGATCAGCATGCACTCTTAACTGCTGACCTCTCTCTCTAGTTCCAACATTTGACTCCTTTGAATTTTTGAAACAAGGCTGACCTCCAACTTTATGTAACCAAGGCCAGCCTTAAATTTCTAATTCTCCTGCCTCCCCCTTCTAAGTGCTGGAATTGCAGACATGTACCATGCCTAGTTCATTTGACGCTTGTTATAGTTTCCGCATCTCTCCTGAGATTTCTAATCTGTCCCAGTGTGCTGTCTTTGCTTTCACTATAAACTGTACTGTATTCTTTGTGTAGCCTCCATGTCTGATAGTTTTAACCCCTGGGTCACTTTGAATCTTGCTCTGTGGGTTGCTTTATATCTTGGCAGTGTATCTCTCCGCGTCTTTTTCTTGCTTTTATATGTGTGCTATGGTATTCTGTTTAAAGCCACACACTGCGGGTAGAATTGTCGACACTAAAGTAAATAGCATTTACACTTGGGAGGCCTGTTTAGTTTGGGAACTAGGCTGGGGTCTGTAGCTGAGCTCAGTTTGGACTGGTTTTTTGTCATTCCCTTTGGTGCCTTCAGGCTCCCTGTGTGTAGAGCAGAGGGCACTAGCGGGGGTTTCCAGTATCCTGTTCCATGTGAGCTTTGAGCGGGTCCCTTTGTGTCCTGACCTGTGGGAGATAGCCATTGTTACTTGGGGCTGTTTGTGGGAAGGCACCGGGTTGCTGGTTCCCTGCCTATCTTCAGCTTAGGACGAGCCACTAACCACAGGCAGCAAGGTGTTGTCAGAAGTTCACCAACCGGGCTGGAGAGATGGCTCAGTGGTTAAGAGCACTGTCTGCTCTTCCAAAGGACCTGGGTTCAATTCTCAGCACCCATATGGCAACTCACAACTGTCTATACCACCAATTCCAAGGGATCTGACAACTTCACACTAATGCACATAAAATAAAATAAATTATTAAAAAAAAAAAAAAAAAAAGAAGAAGTTCACCAACCCTGGCAGCCACACACTTTGGTCTTTGGGCGGAGCTTGGGAAAGAGAATCCTGTTCTCTCCCAAGGAGGCCTTAAGGCAACTAGGAGCTGAGGTCTTTGCCTTAGCTCTTCTCCCAGAAGCAGTTGGCCTTTACTGTTTTGTTTTTTGACACAGGATTTCTCTGTATAACCTTGGCTGTCCTGGACTCACTCTGTAGACCAAGTTGGTCTGGAACTCACAGAGATCCACCTGCCTCTGCCTCCCAAGTGCTGGGATTAAAGGTGTGTACCACCACACCAGCTGGCCTTTACCTTGTTACTAAGGAAATAGTCTCCTTCTACCTCCCAGGTACAAACATGTCTCACGTCTGCCTCTCTCCCATGGCCCTGGGAGCAATGGGTTAACTACCCTCCCCCAGCAACTGGAGGCTTCTGCTTCCTCAGAGAGGAGGGCCCCCGAAAGCAGGAGGTGCTCCAGGCTTGTCCCTCAGCAGCAGCCTTTCACCTCCTACACACCTGTGCCACTGAGGGGAGCTCGGGCTGGCTCCAGTGCTAGGGATCATCCCTGGGGACTCGTATGCTAGTCATGAGCTCTCTCCAGAGTTTGATGTTTTGAGACATGGTCTTAAACTGACCATCCTCCAACCTCAGCCTCCTCGATGTTAGAACTATGTGCCTGCACCACCAGAGCCAGCAAAGCAACATATGTTTATTGCTTTTCTGTGTGCTAAATAGAGAAAAACTTCCCTAAAGCCTGATGGAGATGTAGCTCAGTGGAAGAGTTCTTGCCTAGCATGTGCATGGCCGTAGCTTCCATCCCAGCACTGAAAACTAACAAATAACTTCCTTTTAAATCCTATTCTACACTCCCTCCCGAGGTCCTTCATTTCCAAGATCTTAATTAGATAAGACACAAAGTGCTTGTGCCGCCTTTCTAGAAGTCTGTCAATCAAAACTAGGAGTTCAGAGAAAGCGTGGCTTGAAGTACAATATGGCTAGTACAGAGTATCGTGAATCTGGTATGGACCCCTCTCCTTTCCCTTGGGTGCTTTTGACGATCCAACCTGTGGCCAACACGTGATAGGTAAACATTTCTCTATAGAGCTGCTCTTCCAACCAATCCAGGGCTGCTTGTGGACCTCTTGTGTGAACACTGCACCTCTGTGGTCCTGGAGACCCTGAGGAGACACAGAGCCCTTTCCTTTAAGACGTCACCTCTTCAAAAGCCTGTCCTTTGCCAAGAGGTCCCAGTGTTTTTCTGCACTTTATCTCATATGTCCTCTCGCTGTCATGGGATCCAGCAGCAGGTGGTAGCCCTGAACTGGAAAACAAGCGAGAGGCCTGGGAACAAGGTGCAGCCCCTAGGATCACATGGCCCTGCCGGCCCTGGTCCAGACTGACTGACTCCAGCCAGACCCCAGCCTCGCTGCATGACTCTTCCGAGCACCAGCTCTTAAGGTCCCCTGGGGAAACCAGATAGTCTGTATAGTCACTTGTTCAGGGTCTAAGTGAGTCATTCTGTGATTTGATCCTAAAACCCAAGATGGTCTAGTTTTGTAGCTGGAAACAATGTCCCTAATAGGATCACGTTTCCTAAGTGTTTGTGTCCGAATTAGAGAGGAGCCCAGGGCTGAGACTCACCCCCTCGTCTTCTCTTCTGCAGCTCTCGTGGGCGCCTGCGGGGGCAACTACTCAGCCATGGCAGCCGTGGTCTACTCCCCAGACTTCCCTGACACCTACGCCACTGGGCGGGTCTGCTACTGGACCATCCGAGTTCCGGGAGCCTCTCACATCCACTTCAACTTCACCTTATTCGATATCAGGGATTCTGCAGACATGGTGGAGCTGCTGGATGGCTACACCCACCGTGTCCTGGTCCGTTTCAATGGCAGGAGCCGCCCACCTCTGTCCTTTAATGTCTCTCTGGATTTTGTCATTTTATATTTCTTCTCTGATCGCATCAATCAGGCCCAAGGATTTGCTGTCTTCTACCAAGGTGAGATGCCCTTGACTCTGGGGCATAGATGTCCGGGCTTTCTCTTCCCTGACCGAGTTTCCAAAGTGGTCCTGTGGGGGCAGGCCTACTGACTCAGCTGCAGATGATCTCACTATTAATTCATCCCCCACTTACCATCACACAACTCCCCACCTTCCAATGCAAACACTTCCTCTCCAGTGCACGACTTCCCCCTTCCAGTACAGACACTGCCCCTTCCAGTGCAGACACTCCCCACCTTCCAGTGCAG